TGCTCATTCTTGATTCCTTTCCCCCGCTCTCACAAACCTGTATGCAAGGACATAGGAAAACAGATCAGGGAACTGAACAAAATGAAAACTGATCCCTTTTCCATTTCAGATAACGCTTTTTTTTGCCAAGTAGGATCACCTTTCAGCTGCGACGCTCACACAGCCAAAGCACGAAGCAGCAGATAGGACCAGAGAATTTGCCAGCAGAAATCCTCATTTTAGTGAGCTGCCTAAGTTGACCCTCTTCACAAAGGGATTTTTTTTCTTTCAATATTTATCAAACTCTCAACTTCATTAGAAAACAGTATTTTTGATTTCTAATCAAAAAGACTAGAGAGAAACTTGAGAGAAAATATTCACAAATATGAGGGAACAACTCTCAAGTACAACTTCTGCTCCCTCCCTTTTTAATTAAAGGATTTCTCTATATACAGAGCTCATCATCTTTTTTTGGTACCCAGGGAAATCCCACTGTAATGAGACATCTTGTTTTACATCGCGAATCTTGTCAACAGCCGTCATGCAATTTTCAGCATGTTCACAGATCATAAATTACAATTATCCACACAAGTGGGATGCACAAAATGGAGTTTCTGTACCCTCATGCCATTTTCTTCTCCAATTAGAGATTTTCCTTAAAAGTAAGGGTTCACCTTTAACCAACTTAAGAATCCCATCCGATTCCCCAAAAAAACCACAGAAATTACCATTTAAGATGAGATCAGCTGTCCAGTCACTGTGAGCAGACAAGCTCTTAATAATCAGATTCATGATTGGTGATAAAAGATCAGAGGGCTGCACCTGGCGACTTCAATGGAGATATTTGCTCAGCTTTGAATCGATTATGCTGCAACAATGGCACTAGAACTGGCAGTACTTACCTTCCATCTTGTCCCGACTGGTTAAATTTGAGTATCCAGAAACTCATATGTGAATCAAAATATTTCAACATGCACCACTTGGTATGTGTCAGATTTTTTATTTATTTAAAAACCAACAACTGCTTGTTCATAACAGACCTTCAGAGAAAGGTAAATTACTACCTTGTGAGAAAGGAGAAAATTACGAGCCTCATTCACTACTGGAAAGACATTCAATGCCTTGGAAAGAAGAGAGAGTGCAGGGTAGCTAAGCACAGAAAATCAAGATTCAAAAAGGAAAGTAGAGAACTCCAACATTCCCCCTTCTTGTCTATTCAGACACACATACAAAAGAAGAGCACACTAATCCACCCCTAAATGCAGAATCAAGACATTTGATTCCCTATTCCCTCCCTCTCTCCTCCCTTCCCCCCAACTCCAAAAGCAGAATCTGCATGGAAGGACTTCCCGTACTGAGCGTAGCACCTGTGTAATTACAAATTACAACTGTGCTAACCATGGTACTAAAAAGAGATGCTTGCCACTTAATTAGACCCTTTCTCAGGGAGGAAGCACATACGCATTCACACCATCCCCTCTTTTTAATTGGTCTCAGGCAACGCAGGAAGCTCGTCCCCAAGACTTGTCACTCAGCCAGCCCACAGATGTTTCAGAAAGAAAACCAGGTCAGCATTAACAGGTTCACTTCTTTGGCTCGAGGCGACAGGTCAGCAGATCAGTGTCTGCTGTCTGCAGCTGGCAGCCTCCTCCAAGTGAAAACGGTCCTTAAGCATTGGCCCGAATTCCTGTCAAATCTGCACTTCTCTTTACAGGCCTGGACACTGAGCACACAAAACAACTAGTCCAGCTTAATGCGATACCATCACTGAAGCTAAGCACATTTACCCTTGCAAGACGAAGGACAACTGCAGGCAGTCCCCAAACCCATGTTTTGTTAAACCTCAGTGTCCCTCCAGATTTGTCATGTAAGCGTCAGAGCACTAATCCCTGCCTTTCACTATAACTCTATCAGACATAGCTCAAGAAAGCTTCAGACCATGGCTGGAGCTGCTGAGCAGAGCAGAAGAGCCCGAGCAAGCTGCTTCCCTTTCCAACAAGCCAACTTCACCTCCACTTTCCCTACTGTATCCCACAGTCCCTCAGAAAAGGGCCTCTCCACCTCCTGCCTGCCATTGCTTCGGCATAGAAAGAAAGTGACTTTGAAAGGTAATGGGGGAAGAAAAAGAGGAGGAAAAAAATCCTCTCCTCAATTTCCACTTCAAGCTAATGGAATTATTTGCAACTTCTCAAAAGACACGCTTGCACTAAAACCCTCTGAAGCTCTGTTGCTTGAGACCTACCTCAGGCAGGCTCCAGAAACATGCATAGCTTTTAACTTCAGCCTTTTAAAGCTTGCTATTTTCTGCTGCTAAAGCTAAAGAGAGCTGAGCAACAGATAGGAATGAGTGCTATCAATACCTATTAGCATCTAACTTAAAACCCACCTGATCTTTAAAACATACCCGAAACTTATCTTTTTGCACTATCCAGCACTTCAGTGTTGACCTGTTAAAGGAGAGCACCACCATCTGGCTGGCTCAGAAGAGGACAAATACAGTACTGGCCACAGGAAAGGAGCAACAAAAAAAAAAAACCAAAAAAACCCAAAAAAGCTTTTAAAATGGAAAAGCTCATGAAACGAAAACCTCCATTTTCCGAGTATCTTCTACCTGCTGCAGCAGGGGAAGAAAACCAGATCAATAACAACGCTGTCCTGAAGGGTGTAGCTGTAGGGCTTGGCTGGCTTTGAGTAACTCTTTTAAAAAGAGAATGAACAAACAGGTGATGGAAATGCAAGATTTACAGTGCAAGTTGAGAAAAAGAGTAAAATAAATCACTGAATTCTGTGTCATTACACAATTATGCAAGTCCTCTTCCTACGGCATTACTACCATAAGGTAGAAAGAAGCCCTACAGGACAGGGGACAAGACAGCAACTGCACGTATGCAGTGTTATACATCTCTGAAAGGATTTGAAAGCAGCAAGTAACAATCTTCCTTAGACGAGCTGACTTTTGGGTGCTCGGCAGTGGCTTTTAGAGCAGGCCGAGCCTGCAACGTGTGCTGGTTCTCCCTGGCAGCAGGAGAACGGTTGCCATCTCGTGGACGGTTTTGCGTGTTGTCATCAAAACCAACTCCCTGCCTCCTCTCACACACCCTGCAACCTTTGAGGAACATTTTCCCATTAAAATATATGTTGGAAGTTGCAAGGAAGAAGCTACCTGGAACCTACCAGAACTAACAGCACAACTGAGAAAACAACCAAGCCTGTCCAGGTTTGTCTGGTTCTTGACTGGGCACTGAAAAAATAACTCAAAGGAGGCAGGCATAATTCCACAGGGAACACTGGATAGAATACAACACAATACAAGAAATAGCCCAACATTCACTAGAGGTTAAAAAAGTTGTCCTTGTTTTCCTGGTTTATGGGAAGATGAGTCAAAAGACAGGACTTTATATGGAATAAATTGAGGCAGAAACTGGTTGATAATTGAGCCCAGCATAGGCAAACATGAGTAAACTGTTAATGACCATTTCCCCCACCCCTTAAAGAGCAGCATTATAAAACATTTAGTTCTTCCTAAGGTTCCAAACACAGTCCAGTACTAAAACATTAAAATTAACACTCCTAAAAGCTGTACCCTCCTTCCCAAATGTTTCTACATAAAATTACACTCAAAACTACACTCAAAAGCCCGATCATAAGTCGACCTGACAAAAGGCCTGCTGGGACCAGGCAATCAGTGAGCAGAAGTCATCGAGAGCAGACAGAAGAGATGCCCTGTGGAAGAGCTGGAAGAAATGAAAGCTATCCTCTCAAAAATTCACCAGCTGCATGCTCTTCCCCCCAGTGAAGAAAGTAATAAGATGAGAAATCATATTGTATTCTCCTTTTCTTTGCTTATCTTGTTATTAGTAAACAGCACAGTGCTCTGGCTCTTTGGGGCAACCCTCCAACTTGTTCCTATTTTCTTCTGCTCCGAGATAGGCAATTAATTCCCCTCAAGCTGTCACCACTGGCATGTCCCAATTGGGTTCCCGGAGAAATGAGCTCTTTATACTTGTCCTCTTCATATTCCTGACTGAAATGAACAGGCTATAAGAAGTCTAGGAAAAGGGAAAAGAAAAAAAGAAAAGGAGCAGAGGAAAGGAAAGGGATCACCCAGTTCCACTGGGGACCGCTTCATATAAAAGGCAATTTTTCTCAAGAGCAGTTCCTTCTTCAGTAGGATAGGACATTATTAATAGAAGCAAACAACATGGCCCAATCAAAAGCCTAGCATTTTACAGTGGATATTGTATTTTTACACAAAGTAATTATTAGACTTCAACAGGCAGAATCACTTGTCTCCATTTCTTTCCCACTGTGAAATTACCTGATTAAACCTTTAACAGTTTGAGGTGGGTAAAATGCTTTTACTCCACTGTCTGATGGGACAAGTTTTATGAAAAGGATTCCCACTATTTCTGTCCATTCCTTGCCACAGAATATTTAACACAATTCTAATTTCATCTAAATACACATATCCTGAGCAGGAAAAAAAAAGGAGCCTCAAGTGTGTTATCCACTTGCATGCCTCCAGAAACAAGCTTATTGTCCTTATAAAGCAGATAACACAGAGAAATTTAAGGGGCTTTCCTCTGTCCACAACAGCTTGATCCAGCAGTGTATTTCAACATCAGTTTTCAAGGAAGTTGCACTTACAGTAAATTAACCATGAGTAAGACATTCTTTTCTCTGCATAAAGAAAAAAGAGCTTCTCAAAGCTTACTGATTATACCAGCAGAATTTCTACCTAAACTTGAATGCAACTATATGCAAGAACTTCACGGATTCAAAGTGAACTCACCCTCAGAGATACCTGTCAAGTTGATTTGGTGAGAAAATATTTGTCACTTGACAGAATTATAATAGTTTGCATCTTTTAGTTCTTTTCATATGTAATAAAAGGTATTCCAAAAGCATCCACAGGATGACAAGATCACAAGAACATGATCAACAAGCTTCAGATATCAGGCTGACTAAAGGGGAATACACAGCAGTGCAAGAGTTCTAACTTCTCAGCTCTGAGCACGTACCTGATATTTAAGCCAGTGCTCTGGTCCAGTTTCTCCCAGCTTTTTAATTTTCCCAGAAGTTTCTATGATAAAGATCAAAGGAAGGGTTAGAGACAAAGTGATGCTGTAACAGCTCCTTTCCTGCATAGTTTTATTCTCCTTTCAAATTTGGCATCTTTTCTTTTTTTTTTTTTTTTCCCCCTGTGAATTTCATTATCTTGTTATCTAGGACTTTTGTAGTGTCATTCTCCAGCTCTCACAAACATTTTCCTGGGCACTACAGCTCTGAGACACATGGAATCCACTTCAGAGCTATGCATTACCCAACCCAGTGAGCTATCCCCACTGTACTACACCTTGGCAGACTAGACTCCGGGTAGCAGGGAAAACAATTTGCATTTCCACCTTAAGTTCTATAGCAGCTCAAGGGCCCTCTAGCCTTCTAGCTCTTCCTACAGCTTCTTCAGTTTCAGTCAATATCAGATCAGGCCATCTAAAACTGATTAGTCGTCATTACAGTTCTGCAAAGGAGCAAGTTTAGGCATGTAGGTTAATCTCTTGACCATCTTGACAGGATGGAAGCAAGACAATTATATTCACTGAAAAAACATTCTGAGCTGCCAGTTTGAGGAGCAATACAAAGATCCGTAGTTCAGCAACAATATATCTGGGAAGAGCTCAATATTAAAACACAAAAAGCCACACATTTGATGTCTTTCTTGCTTCTGATAGAAAAAACACTATTATGGGATTATTCATTATAGAAAATTTTCGTTTCAGATGAAGAGTAGATATCCTTTGTGTTTTTTACCATCCATTGCCATAACTCCCTTCACGTTGACACTTAAGTTTAGAAAATGCCTGGTTTCAACTTAGTAATTACAGCAAATAACACAAAACAGAATCAGACCAAAAGACAGGACAAGCAACAAAGCAACCCCTTATTTACTCCTCCACCACGCATTCCTAGCTCCTCACCTCATTCTCCAACTCCAGAGTCACTAGCTGTGCTTGCACTTTCTCATAGCGTTCCAGCTTCCTTTGCAGCCCTTCCACCTCCTCCTTGAGCAACCCGTTGTTCTCTTTCATTTCCCTAGGACAAAAAGCAAGGCAATCATTAAGGAACCACACTATTCAATCCCCACATACAACTTCCAGATATACATGAGAGGAGCATAAGGTAATGAACAAACATCACAACATTCAGCCCACTCACTTCTGTAACTTTCACTCCAAAAGCATTGCTACAAAAACTGCAGCTTTACTGAACTGTATTTTTCCACTCTACGTGTTGTCCTGATCATGTCTAAACAAACTGAAGATTCATATCTGCTTTACCGACTAGCAAAACAGCATGACAGGCAGCAAAAGACGCCCAATTCCCAGCTTCAGTTAGGCTGAAAGCAGAGTTGAAACACAGTAAGGAGCAGATACTCAGGGTTTACTTTAAGAAATGTGCAAGAGTGAAATAAAACTGTTAAAAACAAACATGTGATCTCTAACCTGTTGATATCATCATTCTGGGCCTAAAAATGAGTGAGAGAACTCCAAGAAAGTGAGACACCCATGAGAACAAAATTAAGAGATTATTTAATTTTAGGGTATGAAAAAAGCTGGCAAGATCAGATACTCAGGTAATTTAGGCTATTTTTAATGCATGTAAGGATGGAAATTTTTTTTTTTTTTGAGTAGGAAACAGAGTAACAAACACTTTTAAAACAAATTGTTGCAAATCAATTGCCACTTCAGAAATGCAGAAAGTCTGCTCTACAGAGGTCTATATGAAAATACTTTATAGATTTAAACAAAAGACTCTCCAAATATTATGCTAGCACAACAGCTTTAAAGCAGTGGTAACAATAACTAAACAATAACTTATTACAGATATGTTCAGCTGCCTTCTCTCTACGGGGATTTCTTTCACAAACCTGTATAGAATCAGTTCATCACTATCTTTAAACACTAAGTCTGTTCTAATAAATAGTTAGCACCTGCCAAAATGATCAATACTCATTCTGTGAAGCTCTTACTGAGATCAGGAGGATGACAGATCTCAAATCCTGTCACTTAGTAGCCATCACAACACTGCTCAATTCTGAGGCAGTATTTATACACAATATTTACATTTCTTTCTGAAATTTCCTATACAGAAGTTCACTATCACATGCCACACTAGAAACCACATAAGCCAGCTGCAGGAATTTGAATGTCCTTATAACGCAACTGCAGAAGGTACAGAGAAGTCAGCCCTACCAACAACCGAATCCTCCTTTCACCTGAAATAGACATTTTCCTCTCGGAGCTGTCGCAATTCCCGCTCCATTTTGGGGAAGCGGGCCAGTTCTGCCTTCATGTTCTTAACAATTAAAGCATCATGCTCCTGCTGGGAAAACTTCTGTTCTAGATCCTGGAAAAGAAGAGGCGACAAGAGAAGTACTATGATTATCTCCAAACTCCTAAGAACTAAGCTCCTCTCCACCCCCTTAGAAAGGCTCAAACATTTGTTGAGAGTTCTTTTACAGTCTGGTTACTGCAGTTGTCCTGTGTTCCCACCTTTCCTTCCCATGGCTCTGCTGCCTAATGTAGGGAAGCTGCCTTTCAGCGTAGTTTTCCCTCATGGAAACCACAGGCAATGCTACTGTTACTTGCCCAAAGAAAAGCATCGCTTTGTATCTCTCTCCCAAGAGGATAAGAAAATGAAGGAAGAGAGAGAGAAGAGGAAAAAAATAATAAAAAAATCTTCCACCAACCTACAGGTTAACTTGGAAGGACAGAAAGCATCTCTATGCTCACATTTAAGGCAGTGGTTTTGAAAGTTTTACAAGTAGCTGCACTTTCTAAAACACCTAACGAACAGCTAACTGCAGCTCCAAAGGAAGTATTTTCCAAGAAGTAGGAACCTAACTGTAGCTGCTAGGATCATCCTCCACCATTTAAAAAGGATCGCTCTAGAATACTAATGCAGTAGGCTCTGGCACAAGATCAAAGACAGCACTTCTTCCAGAGTATTGCCTAAGGATATAAATCTGTTCTCTATAGAGAAAGCATAGGTAATTTTTTTTTTTTTTTCCAACCTATTGATACAAAGATGAAGAACGTCACATAAAGGCTAGTTATGGGTAGCCTCGTCCATCCAATTGATTTTGGCCAACTTCATTTCTCTCCGGCTAGCAGACCAGATCCTTAACATGACAAAATCTATTTCCTCAAGAGAGTTTAAAAGGTGACTATTTTGGTCTTTTATGAAACAATCTAAAAACTGAACCTGGAGCCTGGACAGAGCTTACTCACCTTAATCTTTTGTTCATATTCTGCCAGCAAGGATTGGCTTGTTTGCAGTGTCTGGATTTGCTGAGTAGCCTCTTGCCATTTTCTGTTAGATGTAGACACAGGAGATACTTGGCAAACAGAAATCATGTACTAGGAACCAGTCGCATGCAGTAGTCAAACATTCTCAAATACTTCTAGTAAAGTATGCAAGTTAGTATCACAGAAGATGGCCCCAGACTCAGCTTCCCATCTAATTCAGAGACATTCTTAAGACCTTTAGAAACATTCAAAAAAGCCACTGTCATTCTGAAACCAACAAACATATACCTACGATAAAATAATGCAACTTGAATGAGAGCAATAAACAATGCTTTTGGAACTGAGAATCCAAAAGCAAGGAAGAATACACTCATTGTGTCTTTCAGCTACTCCTGTATAAGTCATATTGATCATATATACAAACTATGATTTGTGGCTTGATATTTCTATATTGCTCATTCTATAAAATTCAGATTAGCATTTACCACCCACTCACCTTCTGTTAACTCTGCAACATGAGCACACGACATGATTGAAAGATTTTAGCTTAAGTATTTTTTCCCCTTTAAGGTAAAGTTAAATTGCTCCTCAGAGCTAGTTTCAAACAACTATTATAACCTGCACACCCAGATCAAAGAACCCCTTTGAAGAGTAGAAATCAAATGCTGTTGAAAGTTTTCCGAGTGACAGTAGCTGCAGAAGACTGAAGGTTCCTTTGCCTCTTCCCCCCCGCCCCAGTCATTCACCCCCCGCTTACTTTTGTTGAACATCCAGTTGTTCCATCAGCTCCTGCTTCTCAGAGTCTTGGCTCGTCATCTGCATCTCTTGATTCATTATATTCCACTGCAGCTCAGATATTTTCCCTTTTAATACAGTGATTGTCTGAATTGACAAAAAAAAGAAAGAAAACAAGTGGGCCAGTGAGTCTCCAAGCTGGAGATTACTGACAGTGATACAGATATCAAATCCAACACAAGAGCAAAAGAGTGAATCCAGAAAGAACCCTGCAATCTTGCAAACGTCACCTTAAAAGGCAAAAGAAAAGTTTTACATGTTTTCATCTGTCAACCAAATTGTTCTTTCCTCAAAAACAATTGAGGCTCTCCAAAGGTTTGGTTCACATGGACAGCACTCAGTTCCATTTACCAGACAAGATATTTTGAGATGTTTAGCTTTTACATCTATCTATATAAATACATATTTTCCAGGTGCTCTCTAGAGACACCCATAGTATCTTATCCTAGTATTGATGGAAAAAAAAAAAAACCACACAGAGAAATGGAACTGCTACAAGCATTTCATATACGTTTAGTTTCTCTCAAGTGTCATCACTGTCCTCTTATTTCTGTTGTTGAGAATTGAAACACACCTTAAGTATGTTTACCTGCTTTATCACACAAATACATTACATTTCCAGTGATGCTTAAGCATGAAGAAAGTGTAAGGCCTTATAGCTATTGAGTGACAGCTGGTGCAGGACAACAAATTAAAAGAGATTACAAATACACTAGTTACAATGCCATCTCCCATAAATGAGCACAGATTCCTGTTGGAGTTGGGGAGAGGATGGAAAGGGAGTCGTTTTCAATTCACAAGATCCTCAAAGTCACCTGAAGCTATGAATGGATTAGAAATTTACTCTTACTTCATTAGCTTCAGCTAATTTGTCCTCCTTCTCTTGCAGTTTCTTGCTCATTGTCTCCATACTCTTTTTATAAGATTTGTTGAGCTCCATTTGTTCTTTCAGTTTATTTTCAGCTTCTACTTCCCTTTCCTGATATTGCTTTATACGTGTGAGCAGCTCCTGGTTACGGTCAGCCTCTCGCTTGTAAAGAAGAAAAAAATAAAATAAGCAAGGAAAAAAGTAGCACGACAGTGATCTCTACTCTTCCTACCTGCAATCATATAAACATCATCATGACACCATGTTACTAAGACCATAGTTTTAACCCTCACATTAGAGAGGTGCAAAATCTCCCTGGTAGCAATTCGATGCCAAGGAATTACCTGTTAGTGAAGCTTGAAAAGTAGCAGAGTCTGAGTGTCTTAGAGGGGAACATTAAGACTAGAATATAACATGGATTCACAGACTCCATTGCATACTTTACAGACCAACAAATAAGAAAACACTTTGTGCTCCAATTTAAAACTGACCCTTGCACAGTAAATTTACTTTCAGAATCTCAGCCTTAATACTTGAATTGAGACAAATTTCTCTTTGCAATTTCTGATTTAATAGATAAGAAACCAAGTTTAACCACACTAATTATTAAAAAAAAGCCAGCATTGCATGGGCTCAGGCTTTTCAACCACATTTGCTCCATTTCTGCTCTCTGACAACCTTTCATATACCATTCCAGTTTATGCCTACCACAAATTGATTAGCACTTATTGAAAAGGGTGCAGTAAATTGCTTTGCTAATCAAAGCAAATCAAGACACGGATTTACATAGTAAGCAAGGATTATGCAAAGCAGTGGGGGGGCTCCTAAAACCTTATCCACATGACTCAGAAAACACAGAATCTGAGCAGGGTAATTACCATGGTGCTGGATTATTGCTGCTCCCTTTTGTACCAGTATTTCAATGGTTTCTGTGACTGACTCAGCTAGATTCCAATTTGAACTCCTCCTGGCTTAATCCCAAGATCACCTGACTTCAGATGGAACGAGGAATTTAGTCACAGCCTCACTATTTCACAACCATACACTAAATCTGTCTCCCAACACCCTTTGAAATATATAACAAAATGTATTTTCTGCTTTTTAAGAGATTTCTTTTCTAGAAAAGTCATCTGCATACAAAACCTTTATTATGGTACAAAATCTACTGCTCTAATGCTTATTTCAATAACACAATTAAATACATATAGACATAAAACTAGAAAGCAATAAAAGTTATTAGTCCCTGAGTAGGGTTCACTGTCTTATCAATCCAAGCTCTCTCATTGACAGCACAAAGCTGGCACTGCTGTTATTCCAATTAATTAGTCACACGAACTAAACGTTTGCAGTTGTGCCAGAGAACATTTAGAACCACCTGGGAGGAAAAGGTTTAAACACTTCTGGGAGAAGAAAAAAAACAAGACCTTTTGTTATTGCTACTTATGACAACTTCAGTGCCAAACTAATAGAATCTAGTGATAGACCAGAGAATCCCGCAATTAAAAAAGCTGCTAATGTTCACACTGGCTCTGGTCGACAGCAACAAGTAACAAAACACACTGCAAGTAGAACAGTAGAGCCAAACAGTTGGCGCTGGGAGCCCAATGCCTACACAGTAGGTATTTCAGGAGTATTTACCACAAATTAGCTCAAGCCTTGCCCTGAATATCCACTAGCAGTTACAGAACACTATGTTTGCTCCTGCACTGCATTTTTCAATTTTGTTGCATCCAAAAGTCTAGTGTAGGCAGCCGATACAACATAAACGCAAAGCACAGCACAAGATCAAGATCTCAGCCCTGTTCAAACTAAAACACTAATGTAAACCTGCTACATATGTCCTTATAGAGGCCTATGATATCAAACCACCAGCAGCTTCCACACTTACCTCGTAGTTTCTAGCATTGGTATTAGCTGCCTTCTCCAGCTCGATGCGAGCTCTTTTGTGGCTGAGCTCCATCTGCATCTTCTCTCGTTCCACCTGCAGGAGCTGGGACTTGGAATGGATCTGCCCAGCTTGCTCTTCCAACTGGCCAGTTCATATGTGAAGAGAGATATTACACATCATTAACAGCACTTCAGTAACACAGTTATCACCCACCCGGTACCATCCGGCTGACACTTGGTTAGTACTTTATAAAATTACAAGGAAATTATCACTTCATTTGTGTCTTCTCACATAAGCTGCAGATTGGGAACCTAAGGCCAGGAGTTCAACAACACACTCAAAAACCCATATCATTGTTAAATGCAAACAATTTTAAGTTCCTCAAGAAGATTCTCACCCAACCTCCAGAGGCCCTCTGACAAAAATATACTTTGCTACCTAGAAGAAGGACAATTACAAATTCCCCAGGCTTCATCAGAGTAATAGCAACCAGCCAAGAAGGAGAGATCATTTCCCCTCATGAAATTCAACTGCTTAGCAAGCAAAGACAAAACACAAGCAGAAGTCTCCTGTATGTGTCAAGGCAAAGAAACTTTAAAGAAGGTGAAAAACAGTAAGAAGATACCTTACTGGAAAGATCCGTACTAGGCTCAGCAGACCGCAAACAGCTTACAAATTAATTTTGTGAGCTCATATAAAGAAGACTTTCCTTAAATTTTCACGAGACAGAAATACACCTAAAACTAATGTTTAAAAATAAAGATTTCAGAATGTTCACCCAAAACAAACATTTCCATTGCAGAGTGTACATGAATAGTTTTAGACGGAACGGTCAAGTCTTAGTGAAATCAATGCAATGCGTAGAATCAGATTATATCCACACCGAAGTGCTGCTGGGGCTCAGAGCAAGCAGCAGCCCCCTCACCTGCAGCCTCTGCTGATACTGCATCTGCAGGGAGCTCTGAGAGGAGCCTGGCGTAGCCAGCCCAGACGCCCCCTCCACACGCTGTGCGATGAAGTTGTTGAGGGATCTCAGCGTGGAGAAGACCGTGGTGTTGTTTTCCAAGTCCTCCATGGCTCTGCAAAGGCACAGAAAGGGTCAGCAAAATAGAGCAAAACAGGGAGACCAGCTGCTCTGCTCAGGGCGAGACCCACTGCCCTGGGTAGTGCTGAGCACAAGAACATCCTCCTTACAGAGCACAGGACCCACCTGTGGTCACTGCTAATGGGTTCACAGGTTCCTGCTGGGTCAGGTGAAACAGAAAATACGAACTGAAGCTAAAAATTGAGAGACTGATGCAGGACCTCTCCCCACTTGGCTCTCCACCAAAAGCTGTGCTCTTGTATTTACATACAATTTCCCCTGGATCTCAGCCCATAAATACACAGGCGTGCAAGACCAAATTCTCCCAGGCCTGAAGGAAGGGGACATGTTACCCTGTGCCAGAGGAGATACACAGCACCAACAAACCAAGCCCTCACTGCTCCTCCCCAGCGCATTTCCAGGGCTCTAGAGAGACCCAATCCCAGCCGAGCAGGGACATCTACCACAGATGAGGCGAGTTGATTCTGATTTCCAAAAGCCACTTTGGAAGACAGGTTTTAGGGGGGAGGCTTCCCAAGCTCAGAGGCCACTTCCCTAAGTGCAACTGCAGCTCCCTGCACAGACCTGCACAACTCTCCCTTCCGAGGGGTTCACCTGGGGCGGGTGGGACACAGGCAGAACAGACAGGAGCCAACAGGCAGCCAGGCTCCCGCACGCCCCTGGGGAAACGGGGCAGATTAGGGATTTTACAGAGGAAAGCAAAAATAAAAAACAAAGCTGAGCTGCCCAGCTCCGCGGCCGCAGGCCCCGCAGCCCTGGCGGCTACCGAGGGGGACGGCCGGAACGCGGCCGGGGCCGAGCAGGAGGTGCCGGGGGGCAGGGCCGCCTGTGGGGGTGCCCCGGGCCGGGGGAGGCCGCGGGAGCCGCGCGGGGAGCTGCGCTCGCCGCGGGGCCGCCCTCACCGCCGCTGCCGCCGCTTGGATCTCCCTCCTCGCGCCGCCGCCGCGATCTCGCGAGAACTCGCGCCCGCCTCCCGCGAGAAGAGGGCCCGCCGCCGCCGTAATGCCGCTAGTACGCGGGCCGCCTACCGTAATAACTGCTATATGCAGCGCCCTCAACAGCTTCTCCTGCTTCCCGCATGGATTTGGCTCCCAGGTCAGGCTGCAATTACGGACAGGGACAAATGGGCGCAGCTGGACCGCCCATGATGGGCTCATTCTCTCCCACCTGCGCCTCCCTCCAGCTCTTCCTCAGCAATCCCACTCTGCAAACCTTTTCTTTTCCTCACTTTGGCCCTATCAGCACTAGCTTCCCCCATCCTTGTCCCATTTATTCCTTCTTTCCCTCCTTTCTCTAGCACTTTTCCAGGGTCACTCAGAGCGTCCTTCTCACCCTGTCCTCCAGGCAGATACCAGTGTTCCCACCACTGAGCCCCCACCCTCCCCTCCTGCAGCTGCAAGCAGAGGAGAAAAAGTAAAAACCACGTGAATAACAAAACCACCCTGCTCGGTGCAGCTCTTCCTGCAAATCACAAGGTAAGAGGTTTTTCAAGTACGTTTGAAGTTTCAGGACTGCTGTATTTCTTCCCCCAAACACAAGCAAATCATCATGCAGCTCCCTAGTTGAGCCCGCTTGGCTAAAACTTTCATGCACAATGTTGAGTACAGAGATCCAGAATGGAAGGTGTCATACAAAGTAGTCATAACTTGATAAATTTTTAAGCAATTCAGAAAGAGGTGACTATAACTACCTGGAAGCTTTAAAAGCAGACGGTGCCACCAGCCCTCCTATAACTCAAGGCTCACTCAGGCTGATAAAAGAGCTATTTAATGTAAAAGTTGTCACTTCCAGATAAGATAGCAGCTATGTTTATTCTCACAAACAGAATTCTAGCAATTCAACAAATAATTTTACCTGTCTGGGATCCAAGAAATATCTTGTCATTTTACCTCATAAACATCACTAGTGAAATATGAAACACTACTGAAAACACAGGGAAAAATTATCTTCTCAACTGTGATGATCCTCTGTTGTTTGCTGGAGTTATGAGTACATGAAGTAATAATAACCAAAGACATCGTGTGCCTTTAGGTAAAGCAATGAAGCCTTGCAGTATCCCAGAGCCAGAGTCCTGTACTCTGCATGTCTGCATTACAGAACATAAGTGACAGCCTATAGGGGCAGATTCTGACATGCAGAAGTGTTATCTGTTTTCACATGAGCTAATAAATTGCACTAGCTTTTAAGAAAGACAAAGAGGAAATAAATTGGCTCAAGCTCCTCATGTCATTCCCTGTCGTTTTGGAAATTGCCTTTGTGGTTAATCTCCAATATGACAGCAGTAGTAGTGCAATGATTTTCAAGCACACATGTTAAAAAAAGCACTATAAACACTGTTTTATTTTCATTACTCCAGCCCAGGAGGTTTCCTTTCAGATTATTTTCTTCCTGGCAGATTTCTCCACAGGTGAGAGGCTAAATTGGACGTCTCTGCTTGTATAACTAGTGGATAAACGCAGTAGGGCACCATCCTCGTTTCATTTTTTTTGTATTTGAAAAGCATTGTTCATAAGATTTCCAGCATATTAACCCAGGTAGTGCTCAAAAATGCAACATTTAAAGTTGGGAGCTTATATTAAATATATGCCAAGTAAAACTTTCCAGCCAGTGCCTGATCACCAATTTGATGATCTGCAGTTCTCAGTTATCATTTCCCTTTGTAAAGTCTTGCCAAGTAGTAAGATTCAGCAGAATCCTTCCGGCTGGCCAGAGGCTTTACAGTTCTCACATCTTGAAACTGCTCCTTCAGTCTCCCCTGAAGAAGATGGGAGTCCTGCCCATCCCAGAATTTACAGAGTAGGGTTCCTTTGGGCTTTAAAATACTTCGGGATAGATCCAGAAGGCCTAGGCATAACTTGATCAGCTTCTGATGGTCCAGTTCTTTGAAGCCAGTTGCATTAGGGGCCATGTCACTCAGGACAACATCCACCTTCCCTGCAGGAAGCAAGCTGAGAATCGTCCTAAGCGTGGCTGGGTCTGTAACGTCGGCCTTCGACAGAAAGACTGCTCCGTCCAGCGGGGAAATGTGCAGAAGATCAATTCCAAGGACAAAACCAGTAGGGACAGTGGGATCTAGAAAACAGGGCTTGTCATAAGAATAAATGACACACCGATCACTCTTTATTATGTAAGTGCTGCAAAAGACTTGCATATAACTGAGCTCCGTGCTACAGAAAAACATACCACCAGACAAAGAGTTCTCCTGTCCATAAAGAGCTTGCTGTGCATATCTGGATGTGTGGATTCCTACATGCTAATCCATTTACAACATTAAAAATGAGTTCTCCCAGATAAGCAAGGGCTACTCTTTGCTCTTTGTTATTTTTTTTCTAGACTGGCAGTCCAGAAATTCTGCAGCCTCTAAGTAACTACCTCCAACTCAGCTAAGCAGAAGACTTAGCGGCTCCTACAGCAGCTCCTCACAGTAAGTTTTTATTTCACAGACTCAATTTCTCCAGACCATATCAATAATTAATCTGCTTCACTATCCCCCTGTGATCAGAGATCTGGAGTTCTCTGCTCCATGAAATTTCTGCCGGTGCCTGTGGCGATGATTTGTGCCCATGAACCTTGCCCATCAGCAGAGCTTTCTCATGGGCTCCGAAAGGAGCATCATCCCCACCTGCACAGGCACTCACCGGCACCCAGGGCATTGACCCTCTCCACAGCAACCTGGCTCCAAGCGCCGGGGGCCGCTCCACAGTCCAGAACAGAGAGCCCGGGATGCAGGATGCGATGCTTGTCGTCCATCTCCAGCAACTTGAAGGCGCTTCGGCAACGGTAACTCTGCTGCTTGGCCGCCTTCACGAAGGGATCCTTCCTGTGCCGCTCCAGCCACTGCTGCTCCGCACCCGTTTTCCTCCCGAGGACGGTGGCGGCCGCGTGGAACCACCCGCGCTGCAGGGAATGGCACATCCAGCTCCGGCTGCTGCCAAGGCGAGATGGGGTTAACGTAACGTTGAGCACAAAAACACTGCCCGTTTCCTATATAGTCACTATAGGGTGTTGTATAACACTGCCCACTTCTTATATAGTTACTATAGTTACTAATTCTCATCCTCACCAAGGTTTCCCCCCCATCTATCATCAAATTCCTCACAGCCTCCAGCTGGAAAACTGGAACTAAAGCCTTTGGACCAAGCCCTCACAGGCCACTCGCAGAGTGGGCAAAGGACAATCCTCAGGGCTGCCCATTCCTCCATCTTTTACACTCGAGAGCCAGAGCAGCCTCCAAGTAGCTCACAAGAGCCCTCAGATATAAGGAATTGCGAGGATAACAAATATCCAAGCGCAGGAACTCGCCAGCCCCCTCCTCGCACACCAGTGACCTCCCCAGGAGCCTCAGGCTCCCCCCGGCCGGGGCTGCCTGCGGGCCCCGCGGGCCGAGGACGCTCCTGCTCGGAGGGCAGCGCTGCCCGGGGGCCGCCCCCGCTCCACGCACCCGGCCGCGCCGCCACCTCCGCCCCGCGCCATGGCG